TTTAAAATAAATTTGTTTTTTAGAACAATTTTAGATCTACAGAATGATTGCAAAGATAGTACAAAGAGTACTTTATATTAGTATGGTACATTTGTCATAATTAATAAACCAGTATAGATACATTATTAGTAGCCAAAGTCTATACTTCATTCAGGTTTGCTTGACTTTTCCCTGACGTCCTTTTTCATTTCCAGGATCCCCTCCAGGATACCACGTTACATTTAGTTGGCATGTCTCCTTAGGAGGCACTTGGTTGGGTTAGTTTTTCAGACTTCCATTGGTTTTAATGACCTTAACAGTTTTGAGGTGTACTGGTGAGGCATTTTGAAGAATGCCCTCGGTTGGGATTTGTCTGATTTTTTTCTCATAATTAGACTGGGACAATGTATTTTTAGGAGGAAGACTACAGAGGTAAAGTGCTATTTTCGTCACATCATATCAAGGATAATAGTAACCATATGACTTACAGCTGTTGATGCTTAACCTAGATCACCTGACTTGAGGTAGTGTTTGCCAGGTTTCTCCACTGTGAAGTTAACTCTTTTCTCTCTTTCTGTATCGTAATCTTGGGAAGAAAATCCAAAGAGGAGTAAAGAGTTATTTATGTTCTACCTCAAGAATGGAGTATATACTCAAATTATTAGAAAATTTTCTGCATGGGAGATTTATCTATTTGCCCCCATTTATTTATTTATTCCACTGTTTATTTTTATCAGTATAGACCCATTAATATTTATTTTTTTACTTTGGATAATAGTCCAATAGTACTTTCTTTACTTATTGTATTGCTCAAATTGTTCTTGCCTTTGCCATTGGGAGCTCTTCCAGTTGGCTCCCTTATCCCCTTGACATACCCTTATGGTTTTTTGTTTGTTTTATTGAGCACTTACTTACTTTCTGGCTCATCTTGTATATTTCCTGCCACAGTCCTAGAATCAGTTTCTCTAAGGAGCCCTGGTTCCTTTCATTGCAAAATGATATTAGAAACCATGATCTGTGCTAGATGTGTCATTGCTTCTAGGCCCTCTCAGCTGCCAGAGCAGGGAGACATGTGTTTATAGGAAACTGTGTATACACACATATCTGTAAATATTTCTGTATATAAACATCTCTATATGTATTAAGCTAAACCTGAGTTCATACTGATGTCTCCAACTGTAATCCATTACCTCATGGATCATTCATTCAGCCTCTTTCCCCTGCTTATCTGTAAGCTCCCACTTCAGTAGTGAAACACATGCCTCCCACCATCTGCCACTCATTTATTTAATTATTCAATGCCAGTATAAATGTATAGTAAGTCCCCGGTTTAGGAACGTCTGACTTATGGACAACTCATACTTGCCCTTTAATGGTATGTAAATTTGCCCTCGCTTTGAAAAGATGGAACCAATCCCCACTCACAACAAATTTGTCATCACAATCACTTTCACTTGCTGCACGTGCAGCTTTTAAATAATTGAAACGGCTTCAAGCCTTTTCTTGCACTAAAATATGGCTAAATAAGAACCATATGCACCTGTTCTGACTTACCTAGAGATTCTTAAAGTCACACTCAGGAAAGCATCTTGTTCGTAACCTAGGGACTGCCTGTATAGTGGTTTCAGAAACGTTAATCCATGTTCCCATGGCAAACACCTTTATCTGTTAGAGTACAGTCTTGTGTGCAGTTTCTTTTTGCGTTTTCTCTTACAGACTCCATTATTTCCAAAGTTACTGAGGTCAGTACTTATTCCCTCACTCATTTTAGTGAGATTGTTTCCTATATGTGCAATCCATGTAGATTCTTTTTTCCCATTTGGCATTCAGTCCTGAAATCCCTTAATCTCCTAAATTATTTTTTTAATTTGCAGACATTAAAGTTTAGTCTTTGTGCTGTGAGGGTCTGACAAATGCTTACTGTCTTCTATTCCTAGAGAATGGTTTCACTACCCGAAAATATCCCCTGCATTTCACCTATTTACTCTCTACCCCTGCCCCTGAACTACTGGAAAATTATGCTTTCTTGAGACTGTAGACTAGAATTGAACATCACAGTCAAAGGATGAAAGATGGGATGTTTCTCTCATTCAGGAATTGTTCTAAGATATTTTATGTTTAGTGATGTTGCATTTCTTAGCGGTCAGGTTTTGTGGGCTGTTATTTTTATCCTGTCTGAAATTTGTCTGAAACAAAATAAAGCAAAAAAAAAAGAAGTCTCAGGTTGGAGGAAAAGATCGCTGAAAGGGGGGAGAAAATGATGAGTGATTTTGACAGAGGCCAAAAGAGTGAACGGATGGGTTATATTGATTGGATGTAAGATTTACACTTTCTGAAATATGTTTGAAAAAATCTTGAGTCATGGTTTAAGAAATTATATATATTCCTTTAAAATAAAATAGGTAAAAATTAAAACATTATATATGTGATTCTAAAGGAGACCCATCCTTCCTCCCTTTTCCCTTTCTACCCTCCCTCCTCCTTTTTCCTTCTTTTTTATCTCTCCTACACTGTTTTTTACTATATAAGTCCCTATTTTGTGTACTAGGTACTGAAAATGCCTTCCAGGACCTTCCACATTATTTTTGAGGCAGAAAGCTTTGAAGAGACAATTGTTGTTGTTGTTAGGGCCATTGAGGCAACTCTGATTCATAGTGACTTTGTGTTCAACAGAACTAACTATTGCCCAGCCCTGTGCCATCCTTACAATCATTGCTATGTTTGAGCCCATCACTGCAGCCACTGTGTCAATCCATTTCACTGAGGGGCTAATTGTTTTTCAGTGATCCTCTACTTTACCAAGCATGATGTCCTTCTCTGGCAATTAGTTGCTCTTGATGAGAGACGAGGTTTCTTCATCCTTGCTTCTAAGAAACGTTCTTTCTGTACTTCCTCCAGGATAGATTTGTTCATTCTTCTGGCAGTCCATGGTATATTCAGTATTCTTTGCCAGCCCCACAATTCGAATGTGTCGATTCTTCTTCTGTCTTCCTTTTTTATTGTCCAGCTTTCACATGCATATGAGGTGATGGAAAAAACCATGGCTTGGGTCAGGTGCACCTTAGTCTTCAAAGTGACATCTTTGCTTTTTAACACTTTAAAGAGATTTTTTGCAGCAGAATTGCCCAATGCAATACGCCATTTGATTTCTTGACTGCTGCTTCCATGGGCCTTGACTGCGGATCCAAGTAACATGAAATCCTTGACAACTTCAATCTTTTCTCTGTTTATCATGATGTTGCTTTTTGGTTCAGTTGTGAGGATTTTTGTTTTCTTTATGTTAAGGTGTAATCCATAATGAAGGTTGTAGTCTTTGATCTTCACCAGTAAGTGCTTCAAGTCCTCTTCACTTTCAGCAAGCAGGGTTGTGTCATCTGCATAAGGCAGGTTGTTAATGAGTCTTCCTCCAATCCTGATGCCGAATTCTTCTTCATATGGTCCAGCTTCTCTGATTATTTGCTCAGCGTACAGATTGAATAAGTATGGTGAAATGATACAAACCTGACACACACCTTTCCTGATTTTAAACCACACATATCCCTTTGTTCTGTTCCATACTGAAAGCTGTAATCTTTTACATTCGAAAAGATAATTACTATGTAGTAATTGTTATGTTGCTACCCATTGCCGCCGAGTTCAGTCCAACTCATAGCGACCCTACAGGACAGAGTAGAACTGCCCCATAGGATTTCCAAGGAGCAACTGGTAGACTCGAACTGCCCACCTTTTGGTTAGAAGCCATAGCTCTTAACCACTGTACCACCAGGGCTCCTAAATTGCTACAGTAGTCACATAAAGGAACAAAAGACTGGCTCTGCCTTGTAGGATCAGGGAAAGCTTCCAGTAGAGGTGACACTTGAGCTTTGGAAGAGGAGTAGAAATGTTTGAGGCAGATAAATATATAGAAAGTATTCTAGGAAAAAACTTTTAACATGTGAAAATATATTGGCAGCATCAGAGAGTATGATAAAAACTGAGGAGCTACCTATTAATTATAGTTAGAGTAGAAGTGTTGGTCAGCATAGGATGGGAATGGGAATGGGGCTGCCTGTCAGGCCAGACCAGTATGGATCATGAAGTCCCTTGAGCTTAGATTTTATCCTGGAAATAAAGAGAGAACTACTGAAGGATTATGGGTAAAGTATTGATCTGTCATCTTATAAAACTCACTCTGGCAGAGAACTGGTGGGGAGAACTAGAGGGAGAGGAAACTTGATCCTGGAAGACGTCATAACCAGTAACCATTAACTGTTGCTGTCAGGTTGATCCCAACTCTTGGAGACCCCATGTGTGTCACAGTAGAACTGTGATCCTTAGAGTTTTCAATGACTGATTTTTCAGAAGTATATCACTAGACCCTTCTTCTGAGGCACCTCTGGATGTACTCAAACCTCCAACCTTTCGGTTAGGAGGCAAGCTTGTACCACCCAGGAGCTCTGGTAGACTTCATGGATGACTATGTCAGAATGAGAGGTGATGAGGGTCTGCTTCAAGCCAATAACAGAAGGTAGAGAGAAACAAGGAAGTCTATGAGAAATACCTTAACGAAAATGAGGAAGTGAGAAGAGGAAGAAGGCAGAAAAGTAGTACTGAAGGGTAAAATGGAGGAGGTCCTCTAAATCCTTCTAAACTTTATTCTCATTAAAGAGAATTTGAAACCTTGATGGTAAAGAGGAACATTTTGTGCAATTTTATATTGAATTTTTCATGATCATGTTTCCAAGAATGAGTGCCAGAGTTTCCATAAAAATATTAATTTGGGAAGGAACATAGTCTAGATATTTCCTCTTATTAAGACTCTAAATCTTATTAAAAGGAGAAGGTAAAAATAAAATGAGTCCAGAGTTTGCGGCATGTTAATGATACAAAAAGTAAGTTAAACTTGGAGTTCTTCTATGTTGTGGGAAAATTCTCACTCTGGGTTTTGAATATATCATTCATGGAGTCTCAAGTATTCACCCATATTGGTGCTCATAATATCAATCTAGAGTCTCATCTAAAATAATTTTATTCTTTGGCAGGATGAATCCTTAAAGCAACTGCAAGTAGTTCATCAACCGTGGATCTTGCCAAGTGACACAGAGAGTGAAGGAGTAGAAACAGAACAAGATAAACGTGAGTAGACACTGCTGTTTATTGGCAAATTGCTTTTAACCAAAGGAAATCCACAGTAAAAACATTTCATAACATAGAACAACTTCTGCAAAAAATCAAGCTTAATTAGATACAACACATAAAAATACACAATACTCAGGTCTATAAATCTTGATTCAATGTCATTTTAATTGTGTTGCTGAGACCCCCCTAAACTAACTTACTGAAAAGAACTGTAGCAACTGTAAAGAAGGAGTTTTTCTTCCTGTTGCCCAACATAGAATATCCAATTGGAATGGGAATCTTTTACAAATACTTTAGAATTGTATCAGTGATAGCTTGTTATTATTAAAAAAAAAAAATTCAAAATGTGTTAGGACCAGCTGAGTATTATATATGAAATTATATTATTAATTGAGTAAATATATGTATATAAAAACTGTTCTAAGTTCACAAATTAAATTAATATTATAATAGTACTTATGAAAATAGAAAATATGGCTCTTGATGTTTGTCTCTGGATTGAAATTGTGACAAGAATGGACTACTATACTATGACATGGCTCAGTGCATGCTCTCCAGGGGCTAAATGACGTTGTCAGACCTAGGGTTCAGCAATCGAGAGGAGAGATTAGTGTCTGACTTAATATATATGGAAATAACATCAACTTTTTAAAAAAGAAAATATAAAAAAATGTTTTTAACCAATGGTAGACTGTAGAAAGAAATAAAAATCATATGTGATAATGTAGCCCTCATGATAATAGGTGTGAAGTGATTAATTAATAATTCCCCTGAACTGTAGCCACCAGAGATACCTAATACGTTACACAGGAAGCGTTATGGTTCTGTAGCCTGGGGGATTCAGGAAATTACTCTTCCAAGGTTGAAAGGCGTTTAAGAATCTTCTCATCCCAGTTCCGTACCTACTGGCTTCTGTAGCTGGAGGGAGCACAGCCAGGAGAGGGAAATGAGTGTCAGAGTGCTCAGGGTAGAGAAGGAGGCGTAGAGCTGAAGGATCATGCAGGCAGCACATTCATAATACAGTAAAAAACTCAGTAACATTCTACAGGTTCTATTGGAGGGAAGCAACACCAGCTGATACAGTCTCAGCACTCAGACGGTACGCTGAGCAAGTACAAAAGCAAAGAGTGTATTTTGGAAGATCCTTAATGCTAGGAATCCCAAGTAAAAGGGTCTAAGAGAAGAGCAGCATGAGATACAAAGATAAGAATCCCACAAATCTGAAAGAATTAATAGTGACCCAAACATTTATGAAGACACATGCGCGCGCGCACACACACACACACACACACACACACACACACACACTTAGATACACATAAATTCTCATTCTAGAGTTTGAGTTTAATCATTTTCACTAACTTCTTTTGAGACTTTCATAAATTTTGTTTCAAAAAAACCAAAACCTTCAAGCTACTATGTGTGTATTGTATAAAGACAATATATGTAACTGAGCTAGCATTACTCTGTTAAATTCACCCCCACAGGTACCCGAACCAGATTAACATTCTTATAGAACACAGTGTGTGTTAATTGTGTGAGAGTGTGCAATAGCTTATAATGTATGAAAACTTAAAAAAAGAGAGAGAGAAAAGAATTGATCAATAATATATTGTATCCAATTCCAAATTCAGACTTCCTTTCCCTCAAGTCTTTATGGATCCAATCAGTTTTAAGACTGGAAAACATGACCTAATAATGTGGACAAGTAAAAAATCCCTAGAACTTTCTTCAGCCCTTGTAATTTAATACAAATTTACTTTCTTCATACATTTTCACAAGATTTTGACATTAATTTGTAATTGACTCTTCTTCTACAAGAGTGCAAATTCTGTGAGAGGAAGCATCTCTTTTCTTCATCATATTGAGGAACATGATAAGCTTTCAGGAAATATTGGAAGAATTAATAAATGAGTGAACGAATGAATAGATATCTCTGATACTCTCCAGCTTGTGCATCAGGACTGTTGGAATAAATAAAACAAATAAAATGAATAATAATTGTGATTGTTAATAATTGACCTAAAATTATTTATAACTTTATTAAAATTTTAATATTAACTGCATAGTTTAGCCACAGATCTTGTCAAAGTGTCCATCAATCACTCTAAAAAAGGCCATTCTTGAACTCTCCTAACCATAGACACAGAACCAAAAATATTTGCTCTCAGCAGTGTTGTACTTGGAGGTGAACCGTGACAATGGCAAATTGAAATAAAATCAGGTTTTAAAAATAATTAGGTGGTAATAGCAGCCATCTGGAAATGGAATGCTAGCCAGAGTTGTAGCCAAGTTCATGGCTCAGAGATGCAAATACTTTTCAGTAATGGCTTCTAACAGCCAGGTGCTGGGACATGTACAAGGTGGAGACACTGAAGGTATTGGCATCTCTGCTCATACCTATTCATTCATTGACTCAATACATGTGGTTTGTAGAAGAGCTGGCAAGATATGTATAGATATGTAGATATCATCTACCTGGCAAGGTATTATATGTAGATATCATCTACCTCTTCTTTTTCTCAGTGAAAGGAAATAAATGACAATAATCTATATGAACCCAGCATCTGATTTAGTCTAGAGGCTCATATATTACATATTTATGAGTGAGGATTGAAGGAGGACAAGATTCACCATTCCAACAGAAACACCTGTTTCTTTACTCAACTTTCTATAAATTATACCTAGGTAATTTTATAGAATTCTCTAATTTCTCCTGAGAGAAAATTATTATGGCAGAAAGTTTCCAAATAATGTCAAGATCTTTGAGTGGTGCATATTTCTTACTGCATCATTTAAAAAATAAGAATGGGCTCAGATAAATTTTATAAGTGATCATCTCTTAGGAAAAAGCTGTCTTGAGCAATTAAATGGGAAGTTTTATAAACAAAACAAGCAGAACCCTTAATTAGCTATATCTTTTTTTTTTTTCTTTACTCTGCTTGGACAAGTATAAATCATAAGTTTAAAAACTCTTGTTAGGAGTGTGTTTGTTTTTAGCCTTTCAAACTGTGGTCAGAAGTTGCTAAATAAATCAAACCACAGATATTTGAATCTCCAGAGATATTTGCTTAATATTCATGTTTCTGGACTGTACTTCAGACCTACTGAATCAAAGTCTCTGTGCATGGAACTTTCAATTCTTCATTTTTAATAAGTTACTCAGGTGATTTTTTGCTTCTTCTTAAGATTGAGAACTACTGGAATGGAAAGTCCAATGAATTGGGAGGTTGTGTTTTTAAAACTGGATTGACAATGTTGTTAGGCTTTGAATCTTGTTTCTATAGGCCTCTTTCCTCATCAGATATTAAGTTTGGATATAAAGATTAATGGCACATGGTCACTGCCCTCAAGGAGATTGACGTGTAAGCGAGTAATGACAACATATTACAATATATGTCATAACTGAGTGTGCATTAGAGCATTACCAGAACTGACTGATTAAGTGTATGTAGGATGGGATGTCAGAAGGAATGAAGGCTGAAACGTGAAGAAATACACGTGCAGAAAAATCAGGGATGAGTCTGTCAATCAGTGGGTTCAATACCTACAAAGATGCAATCACATAATAGCTAGAAACATAGCTGATTATATCAACCCAGCCAGCCCCCTCAAACTCTCAAACTACAATTGTGGGCTGTTTTCTTTTTACAACTAAGCTAAACAATCAAAAAAAAAAAACCAAGCCGAATGTATAAAAAAAAGACATAATTGCCCCAAATAAAAAAATAGACTTGGATCTAGGTCCTAGGTCCTGTGTCTTGAGGTCTTAATGTATATAAGGATAAGAGACTTGATCCTGGGCCGGCTTAAGAAAGGGAAATTGAAATGTTGACCTGTCTTAGTCATCTAGTGCCGCCATAACAGAAATACCACAAGTGGATGGTTTTAACGAAGAGAAGTTTATTTCCTCACAGTCAAAGTAGGCTAAAAGTCCAAATTCAGGGTGTCAGCTCCAGGGGAAGTCTTTCTCTCTCGGTCGGCCTTCTCATCAGTGTTCCCCCGGACTAGGAGCTTCTCGGCACAGGGACCCCTGTCCAAAGGACACGCTCTGCTTCTAGCACTGCTTTCTTGATGGTATGAGGTCCCTCTGTCTCACTGCTCACTTCTGTCTTTTATATCTCAAGAGATTGCCTCAGGACAAAATCCAGTCTTGTAGATCAGGTCCTGCCTTACTAACACAACTGCCACCCATCCTCCCTCATTAACATCATAGAAGCAGGTTTACAACATACCGGAAAATCACACAGTACCAGGAATCATGGCCTAGCTAAATTGATACACACGTTTTTGGGGGGACATAATGCAAACCATGACATAACCCTATATAAATCCTGACATCTAGAGGAGCTGCCTCAGGTATGAAAGGCAACTAAATTATCTGTACTCTCCAGATGTGGAAAACAACAAGGAATTTTGTTATCTGTACAGGGCTTTTTGCTATCTGTACGTACTTTTGACAAGTTATCAGGAGGGACCAGTCCCTGGAGAAGGACATCATGTTTGGTAAAGTAGAGGGTCAGAAAGAAAGAAAAAGACCTTCAATGAGATGGATTGACACAATGACTGTAACAATGGGCTCAAACATAGCAATGATTGTGAGGATGGTGCAGTATGGGGGGCAGTGTTTTGTTCTATTGTACATAGATAGGATCGCTCTGAGTTGGAACCAGCAACAACAGCAACAGGGCTTTGGATGAAAAAATATAGAGTATCCACAAGAAATTACACTACCACGTCTGTACTTTGGCTGTTGAGTCCAAACTTAAGCTACCTATATGGTGTAACCCCCATTGCTGTTGAGTTGATTCCGACTCATAGTGACCCTATAGGACAGAATAGAACTACCCCCATAGGATTTCGAAGGAGCGGCTGGTGAATTTGAACTGCCAACCTTTTGGTTAGCAGCCGGTCTCTTAACGACTGCACCACCAGGGCTCCATATGGTGTAGAAACCCCAAATTATAATGAAAATTGGCCAGCATCATTAAAATTCA